TCAAATTATTCCTCCCCCAACTAGTATGAAGGAACTTAGAAACAAAGTCTGTTTAGATATTGTCAGATGTTTTTATGAATAAGACATTCCATTCAATTTTGCTAAGAGTCCAACATTTGCTAAGAGTCCAACATGGATTAACATGTTTCGATTTGTTGGGAGTTATGATCGAGGCTTTGAGCTTTCTAGCATGTATGAGTTGTGGACCGGAATGTTGATGAGAAGGTCTGGACTACATTAAATATGGTGGATGAAGTTAAAAAGACTTGGATTGTGATGAGTGACTATAATTTCAGTTGGTCAGATATTAGACAGAGTATCATCAACTTCCTTGTTAACAATACATATGGAAATATATTTATGAAATCTGTTGATGCATCAGCTTTTGTAAAAAATGTGCAACTGTTGTTTCTAATTCTAGATGAAATTGTGGAGAAAGTGAGATAGACATTATTGGTTTAAGTTATTACAGATAATGTAAGTGGATACAAAGTTGAAGGGACATTGTTAATGGTGAAGAGGAAGCACCTTTATTAGGCTCCATATGCTAGGCACTTTATTGATTTAATGCATGAGAGGTTGAGACAATTGCCACAACAGAAATCTGTCATGTTGAAGGCTAAAATTTTTAGTAAGTTCATTTACAATTACTTTTGGTACTCAACTTAATGAGAATTTTTTTGATAAAAAAATATTCAGACTGCTTTCACTAAATTTGCTACTACATATTTGACATTGTAAAAATTTAAGGAGTTAAGGCATCCCTTAAAAGCTATGTTTGCTTCTGAAGAATGGGATAGAAAGTTCATGGACAAAAAGCAAGAAGAGAAATAGGTGTAGATGATTGTTATGAAATATTATTCTTTTTGACGTAATATAAATTATGCTCTGATGACCGCATGATTTTTAGTTAAGGTGCTTAGAATAGGTTGATGGTGAGAAGGCACTAACTTTGAGATTTATATATAAAATAATGGACAAGGCTAAAAAGGCATGTCAAGAGATTTGTCCAATCAAAAGAATGCCTATACAAAAATTTGAGAAATTATAGATTAAATATGAGATCGCTAGTTACACCAACATTTACATATCGTTGTATATTATTTGAACCTTCAATTTTATTATGATAAAAACTTTCTATGTTTATAAAGAGGTAAAGACTAGTTTATAAGCATGCATTAATGTGGGCTCCGAAAATTCGGCCCCGGCCTCCCCGTTCGCACTTGATGGTGCTTCTTCTTTATTCGACAAAGGAGTTTTAACGGAATAAGTTCTGGGGTAAATTTTGGAAGGCAGATGGGTTTGTAGATAAGACACTACCCATAGATTTCGCCCTCATTTTGTGAGGACTTTATGATCTAAGTTCTGATTTCCTATAGGCGCAAGACCCTATAGTTAATTACCTCTCCGGGTAATGAGAGAGAACTTTCGATTAAGGCTAGTCGTCAATCAGATACGTTATATCCGTAGATTCACAGTATCAAGCATATAGAAGCAGCATGGGTTTGAGAATTTTGGGAATTGGGTATTGGAAGTTTGAAGGGTTGGAAGATTGATATATAAAATTTGAAATTTCACCATCTTGCACTTAAAGCGGATGGTGGGGGAATGGATGATGGACCCGATCAAGATCCCATGGTTCCGTCGTCCCGGGCCATCATGGTCCCTGGTCTACTTAGTCAGAGGAGGTAGTCGACCCAACCTGACAGAAGGATCCTTGTCGGCAGCCATGGGTTGCTTCGTTCAAGGAGACCTTGTAGACCTGTGGTGAATACTTGTCTAAGGGGACAAATTTGAATCTACTTTAGCTAACAGAGGGCTTTGTGCCCTATCGATCATATCCTATTGATTCATATCTCAAGGATTTGATGCCATTAAGGAGCGTATTGGCTCTGGCCATAACTGATATTTCGTGGTGCCATTTGGCGGCAAAACCACTCGGTTCAGAGGGCCCCGGGTCGTCATAACCGTTTATCCTGCAGTGCCATTTAGCGGCAAAACTGTTGGTTAGAGGACACGTACCACGTCCTTACTCGCAGGAGATTGTTTGAGAATGAATCATAGTGATATTTTCGACTAGGCATTAGCTCTTTGTGAGCTTAAGTAAATTTTAATTTGTCCACCCTGGCAAACTATTGCGGAGGACGGATGGATTTTGTTTTAAGTGGTTAATGGTTAGATTTCATTTTGAAATATTTGGATTTTAGAATCTTGGATTTTTGGGCATTTGGATGGAACTTGGATGGTATTTGAATATATTTGTGAACCCCTCCGGTTGAGATCTGCATTCAACACGGCCATCATCGGGGTGTTTGGGGTCATTTCTATTTTTGGATTGAACGTTGTCAACTCGGCTGAGCTGTTGACCGAGGATCGGGTTTCTCGTAGGCTTTGTGCCTTTGTTTATGAATTTTCTTTGTTGAAAGCCTTGAAGCCCTAATATGAATGCATAAAATAAATATTTCGGTTGATTTCGTGACCGCATATTTATCCGATGGTTCGAACCCTGACTACTTTTATTTACTTGCTTAGGAGGATCGGGTTTCGTAGGCTTTATGCCTTTGTTTGTGAATTCTTTTGATTATAGGCATTGAAGACCTAATATAAATGTATTTAAACAAATACATCGGTCGCCACAACCGTGTATTTGTTTAAAGGTTCGAACCCTGTTGACTCATATTGATCCGTATAGGAGGATCAGGTTCGAACTTGAATTCACTTATTGACCCACACAGCATCACTAGACGTCACGTGTGTACCAATAACACGCTCGCCGGGGCCCATACGGGTGTTTGGGGGTATATCATAATTGAACCCTGTCAACTCCTTTTATTTACTTGGAAGGATCGGGTTCAAATAATTGTAGTTGTGCGTATAACTTTCATTTGGATGCACATAACTTTTCATTTAAGAGCTTGTACACGCCTTTTGTCCGCTAGTACGGGTGTTGCGGATCCGGTGGCGGTATGGTCTTGATGCTATGAGATATCTCCTCATCTTGATGTTGACTCCCCTTTCTCGTTCACCGGGGAGGTTCTTCTGGACTTTGAAGTCCGCTGCTTTGAAAAGAACTCCTTTTGAGATCGTCGGTGTAGTGGACTTATTATTTTCGATGTTTGTAGATATCAGAATTGTTTTCTTCCTGAGTATAGGATCAAGAAGGAATTTTGGAACACCGGAAAGTTTAGTTTGAATTTGTTCAAATATCTCCTCCATTATGTAAGGGGATGTCCTTTTTCGTACATCGTGTTGCCCTTGTACCCGACATACTTAGCAGCATTTTAGTCACCGTCATCGTAGATGACATCTGTACTTGTGCCCATAGTGATTCGTTGTGTCTACGATATATCCACTGTTGTTATCCACAAGCAGTTCGTATGCATTTGTAGGAGAAACGCTGTATTCACTATGTTTTCTTAGAAATGTTCGTAAGAGGGTCATTTGTACCAGTATCATATCCACCTTTCACCAATCTCAGGTGGTTTGCTTTGATGTATTTGCTCTTGCTTGTAGGGATGAATCTTTGATTGCTACATATGGGTAGGACTCGTACACCTTAAAACTGTCCGTTGCTTCTTATAGGTGTAGTACCTCGACTTTGTGGGGACTGTTGTATCTAATACGACATCTTGGAAATATTCGTAGAAGAACCATTGTCCTTGCATCACGTCCACCTTTCACCAATCTCAGGTGGATTTGCTGATTGTACTTGCTTGTATGGGGGGCAGATTCTCCACTATTGGTCTCCCGTATTGCCATCTCAATCAACAGGCATTGATACTTGTGTTGGAGGTTCCAGTGGTGCATATGAGAGGGACGCCCATGCATTTCATTCTTGCAGGTACAATGCCCCCGATCTCGTAGAGACTGTTGTAAGAGTCCACTACATTCTTTTCTTGCATGCATTGAGGTCTTATAGTTTGATTTTTCTCGTGTGTGATCCGAGTTTTGTTCTTTGCATGTGTTTGAGTCCAAGTTCAGTTTCATTCAAACTTGAATTCATCAAGTTTACAAGTCCCCACTCAACGTTGTACAGTTCGGGTTCAAGTGTTTGTTCAGTGTGCAAGTTCTTGTTAGTTCAATTATAAGCTCAAATTGATTTGATTTCAGCCCCTAATTTTAATTTCATTTTATTTGGGTTTGAGTTTTTAGAAATCATTTAGATTTTGTTCAGGTCCTCTGCTCATGTTCAATCAAGTTCAAAAGTTCACAAATCTGAGTCCACATCTTTGTTTCTTTTGAATTCAAAATAGGTCCCGAGTGCAGTTGTATTTCACCTGAAATTTCGGCAGCCTCCCGGCGTCTCCCCCGTTTAGGGGAAAAATAATGAAAAATTGGGCCTCCCGCCACGCTAGAGAAAAGCGTGTACGGTCGGTGCCCTGTTACGAGGACACCGCGTCCGTGTAAAGTCTTTCTTCCCACCACGCCAAAGAAAGGCGTGTATGGGTCTTCGGTACCTGTTGCAAGAAAAGCAGTTGTTTCCCCGCGAGCGGGTACTTATGAGTATCCCGGTCTCGTTGTAGGCGCCGCACCGGGTTCCCATCCCACCACGCTAGAGAAAAACGTGTATAGGTGATTTGCCGGCTCTACACGAACATCGAGAACAGGGCTTGGAACCGAGAGGTCGCTCAATTACCTCATTGTAGGTGTCGCGCCGGGTTCTCTTTCCACCACGCTAGAGAAATGCGTGTATAGGTGGTCTACAGGCCCGACATGCATGTCGAGGTAAGAGAGGGAATTATATATTTATTATTATTTTTACTTAATTAATTAATTATAATTAATTATATTTAATAAAATTAATTATAATTTAAAAAATAATTAAATATAATTAAAATAATTAATCATATTTAATTATAAATGATAATAATCAATTTAAGTTAAAATAATTAATTTTAATTAATTTTAATAAATTATATTTAATTATTAATAATATCCTCGTTTTAACAGAAACAATTTCATTTTTTGAGAGCTTTTATCTCCAGTTTATATTTTAAAATTTCCAAGTACGCCTATGAACATTATTTGGTATTAATACATTTCTGGTGAGTCCACTGGCATGTAGGATAATACATTTAAACTAGATGAGAGCAGACTAATATAGAAAAGAAAGTAGAAGAAAAAAAAAACAGTTTCTGAAACCCTGTTTACATAAGAAAAAGTATTCATGCAGAAAACACAACTAACCGTCTCAAAACGTAGAACAAGTACATCTCTCTTTTGTCCAATCCTGTGTGCTCTGGCCTGTGCTTGTAAGTCGACCTGAATTCATAGTAAAAGTAGTCATGCTTAATGACAAAAAATAAACAGCTTAAACAGTAAAAGTTTTTGCAAGGGAGTTGAGAATAAGAATTGCCTGAGGATTCCAATCAGTATCAAAAATTATGACAGTATCAGCAGCTTGGAGATTGACACCAACACCACCAGCTCGAATGCTACCAGAAATATATATGAAGTCAATCAGTTGCTTAATGTAAGTATTTGAGGTTAATCTTGCATAGATGTTTCAAATGTAAATACCTAAGAAGAAATATGAAAGTTTCTGAGCCAGGACGGTTAAACTCATCAATTAGGGCTCCACGATCATTTCCTGAAGTGTGCCCATCCAAACGAAGGTACTTATAGCGTTTCCAAGACAAGTACTCTTCCATAACATCAAGCAATCTGGTCATTGTTGAGAAGAAGAGAACCTACAAAAATAAGAAATATGTGTGCATAGCTTCTGCCGTCAGCCAAACTAAAAGGCAAAAAAAAGTGTCATTAAAGATCATCTTCAATTACTAGAGAATCTTTACATCTACAGCATCAGAAAGTTTTCAAGGTCAATTCAGTGTTAAAATTTTTAATGTATTTTATGCTTTCATGAAAAGTAAAACATATGATTCACAGATACGGACACTGCAAAATGGATATGACACGACACAAACATGGAACACGTCAATTATTGAAAATATAGGACATGGACACTAGTTAGATATGATATTATAATTTTTATATTTTAAAAATAGTGTATAAAAATTAAATGAGTGTGCTATTAAAAATAATTTAGAAATAATAATTTTTTTTTAAGAATTTGTGTTTAAAATGATTAATATTAGGATATCGAGAGTCCGGAGTTGATGCCTTGTATTAAGTATCAAAAGAGGAGACAATAATATTGTTGAGAATCGGGCATCGCTGTTATGCAGTAACTATCGGTCGTCAATGTCAAGAGTGCGTTTGTCGTGAATTTTGAGAGGGCATTGCTCGTCGATGTTAAGACGATGTCAGACAAAGAGGGGCTATCAAGTTGCGGTTGTAGAAATTGTTAGCGTCGAGCTTCAATATCAAGAGAACATTAGACTTTGATTTTGACATGATTTTGGACGTTGATGTTGAGATGAGATCGAATATTGTTCTGAAACCAAAGTTGCGACTCGCTAAAGAGAATTGAAAATGAGAATAGTCGATGAATGAGTTATTGAGTGCGGGGATTGCTTTGGTATTGTGGATAAGAACTAAGAAATTTAGTTTTATATTTTAAATAAATAAAATTTTAGATACAAGAAATTATAGTTAAAAAAATTTTATAAAATATTTAAGGCATGCATGTCGGATACTGCACACCACTTTGAGGAGAAGTATCAGTACATCATAGATGATATACATCTCAAATTATAGAAATAAAGAACTGGTGATAATGAATTAGGTCTTTTACTTGTTGATTTATAATTTGTGTTACTCCTAAATATGTTGATGTTCTTGAAGTTGAAGTTGAATGAGAAACTTATATTAATAAGAAGAATGAAACACTATGGACATTGCCAGGTCTATTGAATTGGGATCAATTTTTATTTCACAAGTATATAAAAGAAAGAAGCAAAGTGGGGTTTGATTTTCAAAAAAATTCAATGCTCATCTTAAATATAATAAATTATTTTTTATATTATTAATCTATTATTTTATTTTAGTATATAACTAATAAAATGTTAACTGATATAAGGATAAGGAAAAAAATATTATAACTAAAGAAGATTTTGAAGATGACTTTGACATAAATTATGAGAATTCTTCTGAAGACTGTTAAAGTGATAATAAAACTACCTCGGGTCTTGATTCTAAGGGTCTATTTAAGTTTTAAGTTAGTATGTATTTTGAATCTTGTGTTCTAGTAACATTTACTTTAAAATAAGTTATTATGTTCATAATTTACTTAATATTTTGTTATTTTTGGAATTATTTATAATTTTTTTAGTACTTTAATTTTTTCATTTTTGAGGTATACGCCTTGAGGCTTACACCTGACCTCACTAAGACAAAACATCTCGATACCTATTTTATCTTTTTAAAACTTGTTGAATTGTTACTGTTAGTATTATTAATTTACTGTACTGATTACTGATATTTAGCATGTGATATATCAAGCACGTGATATACTAAGCATGTGATTAAGATATCAATATGATACTGATATATACTACCTTGATATTATGTATGCATCATTATATGATTTTACTGTATTGATCTAAGTTCGACAGTTATTTACCGTTGTTTTTGTTTTATCGCTTTATATGATTATTTTACCAATTAATAGTATTGATACGACTGATTTCTTTATTGATTTGACCCCATACTGATTTACTAATTTTCCTACGGTACTGCCTTATTGGTTTCCGTGTCATATTGTTTTAATGTCTATAAACTTTACTACTACTGTATTCGAGTTTTACTATTTTTGTACTAATTTATAATCTTTAAGTGCTACTATTACAAATTGATTGATGACATATACAGCTTTTTTACCGTGCTGTTAGTTCAGTTATAGAAATTTAGTGATCTGTTGAGCTGTTTAGCTCATTACATGTGGTTTAAAAAATTTCATGTCAGGGAAGAGGTTCAAGGGTGTCAGACTGATTAAGATTCTGTAGGTTTACTGTTATTTGTTTCTTTTTATTTTGTAGTTATTCTTTTGTGCTCAGGACTGAAAAGATATACTGTAATTGTAATTCCTGAGTATTAGATATGATTTTGAGAGCACTTGGAATGAATTCACTAAAGTGTTCCAGATGTGGTTTGTACCTCGGTCAGCGCGGTGACAAATGCAAGAAGATTTCATTAAATTGGAGTAGGGACGAAAGACAGTGGTGTAGTATGAAGTCGAGTTTGCTGCACTTGCGAGGTATGCTCCTCACTTGATTTTTACGGTTGAGGAAAAGTGTTACAGATTTCTATAAGGGTTGAACACGGAGTTGAGACATCCATTAATGCCTTTGCAGATCCAGGAATTTTCTGAGTTAGTGGAGCACGCCAGATTGATAGAGATTGATTTGACAGTATCGACGTCCAAGTATGATGTGGGTTCCATGTATGATAGTAGCAAGAGGACTAAGAAAGAATCAAGCATGGATAGGGACAATGTGAATGATAAGAAAGAAGATACAATGATTCGAGGGAATCTGGATTGATGACATCTACTGACAGCTACGACGAATATGTTCATTGTGGAAGAAGACATTCAGGTTAGTGCCACCTATGGACGAGGCGATGTTTTCACTGTGAACAATAGGGACACAAGGTAACAGATTGTCCTCAAGGGATTTAAAGGTTGAGTTGATTTTGGTGTAGGACAGTCTAAACAGACTAAATGATAGAGGATTGCAGAATTGAGAGCATATAATGAAAGCTTAGTAAACAAGATTGTGATACGATTAGAGGGGGCGACCAGCATCGCCATCCGATCCAGGATGGACCAAACCAGCCATCTGGTTGGGCAGAACCTGGAGCAGAAAATAGGGAAAATTCTGCCCCCTTGTGAGGCAAAGCAAAGCTGTGATTCATCATATTAGAAGGAGAAATAAGTAGCGAATTATTTAGGGAAAGATTTCTAATTTGAGTTTAAATAAGAGGGAATATTATTTAAGGATGTTTTTTAAAATATGTTTAATTATTTAAGAAGGTTTCATAAATTATGTTTAATTATTTAGGAAGATTTTCTAAATCATGGTTAATTATTTAGAATTTTTTTAAAATCATGTTTAATTTTTTAGGAAGGTTCTATTTATGTTTTTGTGTTCTAGGACAATTTAAAGGGGAGTTGCCTATTGTTTAGAGTATGATTTTGCTGAGTTCATTTTTTCTAGTGTTTGTTGTGAGTTTCTAGCGGTGTTTAGGGTTTGTGTGACAGTTGATCCACCTCTCGAATAGTAGATAAATTGTATCTTTCATTATTTATTAAAGGAGAGAGAAAGGAAAGCAGGGGTTTTGGCCGCCGGATTTCTTCATCGTCTTTATGAAAATTTTTGCAATTGAGGTAAGTGACTTAAATCTTATCTCCATTTTCAAATATTTCAATTTTAACTGCTGGATTTTCCTCAAAATTAATTTTAGTACATTTTCCCTGGTTTTATTGAACCTTCATTGCGTAATTTTTTATATATTATCATATTGAATATTTTGAACATTATGACTGCAATATTTTAAATTTTGCCAGTTAACATAAAAGATATTAAATTTTGTATGAATTTTCCTTAATGGAAATTGACAACTTATTGTATGAATATTTGCTAAAATAGGCATTAAAAATGTATACTGGTATGTGGTTGAGTAATAGTAGTTGCATTTGCTGTTATAAAATATTGTGATAGTAATATTTGAAGACAAGTAAAAGCTAGTTTTATTGATGTTGGCTGGAGACTAATTGACTTGTATAGGATAGCGGGCCTATGGACTTCATTTTAAATATTGTGATTTGATATTTTTCAGTACTAATTTAAGTGATTTATGATTGGGAGTTATTAGGAGTTATTATAATACTGACGGGTAAGGAGTGACGACACTGTTTACTGAGTCAACGGTTATTAACAATTAATTTATTACTGGAAAACACTGCTTTGCCAGGATTCTTTGCTTGTTTAGTGTGACTGCTGAAATGCATATGACATATTCATTGTTACTGCACAACTTTATTGATATTGCATTAATTTTTTGTCACTATATGGATTACTGTTATAGCATTGATTTTTAATTATTGCCATTGGATTTATTGGTATCGATATAGACATTGATACTATTATTGATACTACTACTGATTCATTGCTACTATTACTGATTACTGATACTGAGCATGTGACATACTAAACACGTGATATACTGAGCATGCAATTAAGATATCGATATGATACTTATATAGACTAACTGGATTGTATACATACATCGTTATAAGATTTTACTGTATTGATCTGAGTTTGACTGTTATTTACTGATGCTTTAGTTTTACTGCTTTATACGATTGCTTTATTGATTGATAGTACTGATACTTCAACTATTTTATTGATTCAACATCCGTGTTGGTTTACTGATTTTCTTATTATAATGCTTTATTGGTTTTCGTACCATATTATTTTACTATCTATAGACTTTACTACTACTGCATGAGAGTTTTACAATTTCTGCAATGATTCACGATCTTTGATTGCTAGTGTTATAAATTAATTGATGACAAGCATACTGCTTCTTTACTGTACTTTGAGTTTTATTGTCTGATTTTAGTAACCTGTAAGGCTGTTTTGCTCATTATATGTTGTTTAAATAGTTTCAGATCAGGAAAGAGGTTCAGGAGTGTGAGATTGATCAGTATTATGTAGGTTTATTATTATTTTGTTTCTGTATGTTTTATTGTTATTATCTTATACTTAGGACTTGTAAGATATGCCGCAATTATAATTCTTGAGTATTGTATATGATT